ATAGATACTTGATTTAAAACATTGATAGGTGCATGGGACAAAGTTAATTATACATTATGTTTTTCTTTCTTTTTCCATTTTTTTCAAGTATTTCATGCAATGTCGGTAATGAGATATCTTATAAAAGTTAAATGTTACGAACAAACTAACAGATGAAAATCAAAACAAAGTGACCTAGTGTCTTATGTCAACAAAAACTTCCCGTTTCTAATTATTCTGTGCACTGCTTGTCCGATATAAATACATACTATATTATAAAAGGTTTTCACATTTTGGACTTTTGCTAATCTGGTCATTTTTTTCTTTTTGATGATTAAAAGTGCACTCACCTTTCAATGATAGAAGTTGTTCATTAGGTTTTTGTTGATTCAGTTGTTTTGTGATAATAAAAGGGTTTGACTGTTTTGATTTATCAGTTTTTGAGTTTCATTTCTCACAATTTTTCCTTTATTTATTTCATTCCATTCATGTCACCATCCTATCAACTGTACTATCAATAAAAGCCAATATTATGAAAACAGTGTCAAAAATCCATCATTTTCTTTGTATGTCACAAATTAATAACAAACGTCATATATTCACAGTACAAAAAGCAGGCGTGAATACTACAATGTTTCTTTGTCTGAGCTTGATGGAATAGTTAGAAACCTTGGCTAAAAGAAGGCTAAAGGTGCGATATTCTTGGCTTGTGTCCAATATTGTTTACTTGGGTAAAAACAGAAAAGAAAACAGGTATAATTAGAAATGCAAATCTACATTAAAAATGGCATGTTTTGACAACAAGTGAAATGTTTGACATTGTACTGTTGGCTTTGTGCTCGTTTATCTGAAAGACATACAACAAAGGTTTCCCTTCTTCTTGTCACACAGCAAAGCAAAGGAACACTTTTCCTCTTAAAATGCAACTCCTGCATATTTTTTAGTTTATCATTTTTTTTTTCCACAATGGCGCGATAAAATCTCTTGTCAGTCATTGGAAGAGGTTGCAGAGTTGATTCTGATTGGCTAATGATGAACCATCACGTGAAAGTGCTGCAAATTAACTGGAATAAACGCGCTGCTTTCGTGAACAGGAACCGAGCTTTAATATTTTAAACTACCCATTTCCCGTTATTAGCAGTATTCTAATTAATGTCCCAGGGAAAGTCGAGCCAGCCAACAGATGTACAAATAAACTTTTCATTAACGAAACAAAAATTGTCATTCTAAAGACGATGATAATGTATTTTTACCACAAAGAAATATATCTAAAGCTTAAGACTTCATTTTATAATCGGTTGTTAATATCCTCGTCCGTCTGTTCTCTCAAGAACTATCGTGGATTAGTCTAATCCACCATGAATTATCCAAGATCAAAGCTTATATCAATAAACTTTTCAAAGCTAATGATTGTTTTTTCAGCGCTATATTTGTTATATTTTTCAGGGTTTTTTTGTGAGGCATTGTTTTAATTACCAAAAAAATACATTTAATGAGGACTCAAAGCAAATCGAAACTGATCTGTTGAGTCGGAATCGACATTATAAATCGTTCTTGTTTCTTGCTACTAGCACTTTTCCTGTTTTCTTTCCTCTTCAATCAGTCCACAAAAACAAAATGTGCAAATAAATGAAAGAAAAAAACAACAACAACAAAACAATGCCAAGCGAGACGAGGTCAGGCAACAGAGTACAACTATAATATAGGTAGAAAGGCAGAAAGACGGGGACAATTTGGCATATCATAAATTTGGATTTTCCTGTTTTTCACGGTTTTAGCAWATATATGTGAGATATTTTCGTTGGATAAGTTTTTTATTTCATTAGTGAAGTCTACCAATGTATGAGTGACACAAAGTGTACACGTTATATAACTATACGTTCATTTAATCGTTGTGTATTCATTCTGCCACCTGGTAGACGTAGTTTGTGATCTGTCCTCCAACGCCGTTCCAGCAGTTTGTACTTGGTCCATGTACGCTATAGACACTGTCGTCKTTAGACACCCAACATTCACCGTAAAACTGCAAAGCAAAGTACTTGTAACCAGCTTGTTTTGCTGTCTGATAGCATTCATACACTAAAATTGATAAAAACAAATATTTGATTAGCCGAACGCAGAGGCCAAGTTACTTAAGATTGCTGGGAATGATTGACGCACCTGTACGGTCGATATTAAACCAATCAATCTTTAAGCGTAGATTGACAAGCAATTTTGGCATAGCTCGTTGTGCAACGACGTCTCTCCAACATCCCAAGTCCCTCCATGGTGCGAACCTATAGACAAAGTTTGCATAATGCATACCAACACCTGTAGAAATAAAGACAGTTTAGTGAGGACTTCCAGGACACCGCCCGTCAGACAGTCGGTCAGCTAGTCCATCCGTCAGTTAACCAGTATTATGTCAGTCAGTCAGTCAGTCAGTCAGTTAGTCATACTATACCTTCAAAGCATTTTTGTTTTTCATCAGTTGGATCGGCTTTTCCATACATATCATATCGGGTTTCAGCTTCATTATCAGCCCAACACTCTCCATAAAACTGAATTCCGAAGTATTTGTATCCTTTCTCGTGCGCACGCTCGCCGCACTTCGTCACCATACTTCGTACATTGTACCAATCGATTTCATCTCGTAGATTGGCGATGAGGTGTCGAAGAGCCCGATTAGGTTCTTGTTTGTCTTTGTAGCATCCAATTTCAACCATCACAGGTACAGCTGAAAATACCGTTAACCACAATCAGTGCTTAGTTTTGAGATCAAGACGTTGTTTAGGATGTGTTGTATAATTCTCCGTCGCTACTGTTTTTTCTTCGCCGTTGAGTTATACATGCTTTTCACTCACCTGTGTGAAGACACTTAACTCCAGCGTCATCCTTGTGGGTACAACCCCCTACCTGTCCCCACCCTTTGTGCTTACATTGGTACAAGGATTTCTCATCACCATTACACTGCATACCACTCAACCATATGGGACCAGTTCCCTCGCCGTACTTGGCTTTTCTCGTCTCRTGAATAGCTTTGAGCATGTTCAATTCATTGCATACAACCTACAAGTATGAATACATATCTTACGTCAACTCTTGCGACAGCTAAGTATGTTATGACGTCATGATTTATTACGTCATAGCTTTACGTACCTGTGCATCATCAAGGTCCCAGTCTTTATCGCATATTGTTCCCCACTCGCTGTTATGGTACACCTCGACTCGACCGGTCCCATTATTGGAGGGTAGATGCTTAGGTATTACCAATCGTAAAGTATTGGCTGCAACAGTAACAAATCAAAGTCGGCGACCCTCTCTTAAACGACCACTTTGTTGCATAAATGCTAGTTAACGAACGCTGTCGGTCATAACTTGGACCACATCGATGATAAACAATGAACCTTGATTTTGCCCTTACTAATGTATAACTAGAATGCATTGTATTCAGGTGATACCTTTAATAGCTGCGATTTGACTCTGTCGTGCAAACGGTGAAAGTTCTCGTGACCATCTGCGGGATGTCGAAGGTGACGATCGTCCGTCACTTAGTCTCCCTGTAACAACATCGACATAACGATACACGGGTTAATGGTACACATGAGAGCTTCTGAAATACGCAACTTGGCGTTTTTTGGTTTGATTCTATAGTGTAACAGCAGCATTGCTGTGATTGTAGTCGGGTGAGGCATGCCGGGATTGATACGTACCTAACCCTTGACGAAGGAACTCATYCCTATCTTGACCAAAACTGTAGATAGCATTCTCAAACAACTCCTGGCCATGCTCTTTGGCCATGAAGTCATGAGGCCTTGCAAAATCCTCTAAAACACGATGRMAAATTAGAATCGCRATGTTAACACATTAAAAAGTGCATGGAAAACAGAACTCAGAATTAAGGGGGCAAAAGAAAATGAAATAAGTGGAAAGCAAAAAAATCTTAGCAGAAAAAGAAAAAGGAAAGGAAAAAGAGAAAGGAAAGCGAGAAAATGAAATGAATAAATAAATAGTGATGAKAAATGAGTAAAAAGACACTTTCACCTTTCTTACCAGCTAAAGCAACAGAAAAGGTGACTAAAACCAAAACAAAGTACATGATGATTGCAGAGACCGGTTTGTTCGGCGACTGGTTTTGCTCTCCCAGCAAGAATTCCAACTTTCACCTGATGTCCTTCTGCACACCGGACTGGAACAATCATCAACCAATAGCCAATTATCCAGTATCAAAGACAAACACATTGCTACCGGTTTGTCGTAAAATGTACAGGAATCCTTCCGGCTAGAACAATATTGATTGATGGCGCAAGGTGTACTCCGTCTGCTKCCAATCCGCTTTTCATTCTGAATATTGTAAATTGCTTGTTAGCGACATACTGMAGAATTAAACAAAAATTGATACAAATATTGTTATATTGTTATTTCAATTGCTTATATATAGATTTATCCTCCTTTGCTCCCGAATCACCTAGATTCAATTTCAGTGTACAAGGTGATGATCTTGATCAGTTTACAATCACTAGAGACCAACGTCTTGGTTAAGGGTCGATTAAGGGGTTTATTTACTATACATGTCAATAGTGGATAAAATAAAGATTTGTTTGTGGAACACAGCAAACAACATGTCAATCATTTCATTAATAATAAAGTAAATAATTGTTGTGCTTTAGTTTAATTGGTGCAACTTTTTTCCTGCAAGAAATTGTTGGTTTCGTAACACCAAACGTCCAAACTTTTTTATAACTCGTAAGGAGAACATGATTCCAGGAAATACGTTTCTGCATTTCACTAGGCAGTGCTATAAGTGGAATTTGTTGTTGAAAAAGAAAAGGAAGACACTGTAACAAGAAATCGTTAACAACGGTGAATATGTTTGCGTAAATTATTAAACAAGGAAAACAAGAGGAATCCGGTCTTGAAGTATTTGTTTGATTTTACTTCAATTACCATGGAATCTATCATGCAAACACATTATGTGAAATTGAGATCCTTCGAGCAGGCCAAGACTAAGGTATCTAATAATTTCAGTCTATGTACCATCCTCAACGTGGTTGTACATTCTTTCATTTTTCGTCTTTCTCAGCTGTTTTACATGAGGTCACGATGAAGCAATTTCTTGCCGTAGTGCTGTTCCTCCCTGTGGTTTTCTGTGGTAAGACAAAATGTTATCGACCAAATGAAGTGTGTTTTTGAATTGTTGCTTGCTGGAAGCTCGCATAGCACAATACGAAACAGATAAATTTTTCTTATGTTTTCTTTTCCTAACAATCGATCAAATGTAAGAAAATGTGCATGACTGAAATGAGTGGAAACAGTCACAAAACAACAAAACCAACTAATGGAATGACTACTGTTCCTAATATGAGAACAATACAAAAATAACACACGATTTGTTCCTTTTTTCAGCCACAAAGCGAGAAGTAGGTACGTATTCTTTTTGGGATTCAGTTCATTCAATAAAACTACGAGTGCAGCTTAACGTTCTTTGACTGACACGCCTAATACATGCATGCTACCGTTTATCATGTTTTCATAGGAGCAGATGTCAGGATAGTCAAGCCCCAAGGCATGCCGGGTAAAGGGTTTGGCCGTGTTGAAGTGAAGCATGCTGGTCAATGGGGAACGATTTGTGACAATAACTGGGACAGGAATGATGCACAAGTCGTTTGCAATGAATTAGGATTCGTCAAAGCCATTCAACAAACGAGGTATAGTGACATTCATGGCCTAGAAGAAATTATTAGATGTTTATCAAATTTCTTTTTAAAATGAGATGTGAAATGTTTTGATAGAAATGCCATGTATGGCCAAGGAACRGGGAAAGTATGGCTAGAAAACGTTCAATGYAAAGGCAATGAAYTGAAGCTGACTGACTGTCCCCACGGGGGATGGGGTGAGACGGGATGTTCACATGCACGTGACGCTGGTGTAAAGTGTCTTCAAGAAGGTAAAGTTCTGTGATTTGATTGTTGCCGGAACCATTGCCATTGCAGTAATAGCTGTACACAGCGTTCAACCGTGCGTTTCAGTTCCACCAGAAGTTGTTAGATCTATCAATTCTTCTTTCATTCAAAGTATTACAAATACTCCACCATTACTTAATCTAATAGACCATACTTTTCAAAAGGTGTTCCTCAAATACTTGAAGTTGGTTGCTATAGAGACGTCGTGGCAGTTGGTGCCCGGGCCCTTTCTGATATGTATTACAATGCACGTGATACTGGTGAAATAGACTGGTTTAATATTAGAAGTCTGGTTACCCTGTGTGCTGAGCATGCGCATGCTCGTGGGTACAAGTATTTTGGAATCCAGTTCTTYGGTGAATGCTGGGGGTCTAAGACGGGYCATTTGGATTTCGATATTCATGGAAAAGGAACCAATTGTTATGAAGGTATCATTATTGTTATATCAATTCATTTTTAAAGGTCATAAGTTATAAGTCCATATCTTATGCAGGTGTCGGTGCCCAAAGCCATAACTTCGTCTATCGCTTCGCTCCATGGAAAGACCTCGGCTGCTGGCACGATGTTGGATCGGATCGCGCGATGACACTTCTTGAGAATTTCCGAAGCTCAATCGATTGGTTCCACCTTGAAGTGACAGGTATAAAACGTGTTGCATTTATTTCTGAGAAGGGCTATCACGTGACTGGTTTCCTACCTGGAAAAGAACCGCTACTAACAATATTTTCATGTTGTAGTTAAGAAATGTTACAAAGCAGCAAGGAAGGCAGGCAAGAAGTATTTCGGAATCCAGTTCTATGGCGAGTGCTGGGTTGGTGATGGTTCATCCTACCAGAAGCACGGCTACTCGACCAACTGCTTCAAAGGAGTGGGTCGACACTGGACTAACTACGTCTATCAGATTTTGTGGTAGATAGATTACACAGGGTTACCATCCTGTTGCTTGTRAGTCAATGTGTTCAATAAATTTCACAGTGCCTTAATGTTATGGGATGGTTTAYTTTACTGCAGGGTAATGYTATCAAATTTTGTTGCTTTGTGTGTAAATCAGTTAATTTTCGGGGTTAACCCGTTGCCCTCTATTCACAGCGTAAGGGTGTGAAGCAAGCAAAGTATTAAGCAAGCAATTAGCRAACTACACTAGCAATTGCAAACATTTCATGAGCACTCGATATTTTTAATAAATTTCAAAACACCTTTTTGCAAAAATACTACATTCTTCTGTTTCAATAAAAAGAAATAAGAAATAATCCAATGCAATTTTTGCACCATGTAAAATCCCATAAATGATACTCTTTTTGTCTGTACAAAATATTATTCACAATTTATCAAAATTTGCAGTTTTTGAATTTTCTTTCATTACCTTAAAAACACATTGTTACCAATACGTAAAAAAATAGGAAGCCCGATCTATCCAATGATGATTTTACGTTATATTAAAAATATTTATTATTATGTGCAATCGATGGGCTTCCTGTGTCTTTGCCACATCGTACCCCGGTGTACATGCCTCTGAAGTACAAAATGATCCAGTACCTCAATCGCTTTATTTTTTTTTTTTCTGAAATACAAAAAAACTCTATCAGAACAAAGAAAGTAAAAATAGACGAGTGAAATGGAGAAACGAATGAATGAATGAAATACAAGCTCAGTTTTCTAGTTTCTCTCCACCTTATGTCAGTCTATTGTTATATCAATTATAGGATTACTAGTTCCTGGTTATTTTTCAATGACAAAACCTTTTTTAAAATGGACGATTGGACGAAGACTACAATTTAGATTTGCCGTAGTTTGACTCAACCTCAATTTCGTTGTCTATGCACTCATTGTCAAGATACTCGTACTCCCGTGCAAGAAAATCCCAAAGGACAAATKTACACAACAATAGTTATTGTACTAGTATATGTACTAAAGTTTGTCTGCTACGTCACTCGTAGGACGCAGTGGCGCAGTGCGTGGAATTAACTGTAAATGSACTAGGAGCCGGTTAATTTCTCCCTCACTGGCCTGGCTTGCCGGGTTAGCACTGTAACTTGTGGCCTGCCGAGGGATAGCGAGGTTGTTGCCGAAATCTTCAGCCGTTTCGTAARTCCATGCGGTGCTTCAGCTCGAGTGTCTGGAGGCATGGTCCCGGGATKTTTTTGATAACGGTTCGAATCCCGTTTGGGCCATCTTTTCCCTTTTTTTTCTTCTTCTTGTTCTCTTTTAGCCGTTCATGTAATTTTTTCGCTTTTTTTTTGTTTAATGTTTTATCTTTTTTTTCAACTTAGTTATTTAGCGAAGAGTTTGTGCAGATAGTTCAGGATACGGTAGCCCATYCWTATAAACGAGTTTCCAATCAATTCGAACACAGTTTTATTATTTCAACTAATTAAGTCAGGCGCAAAATGTATTAAAATAAAGCGTGACAAAAAAGWAAAAAAAAAATTTTCATGAAATTTTTTTATATAAGATGGGTTAATTTGTTGAAATAGAAAAGTAGTTATAATATGTGAAGTATAAGTAATTCCCATACATACCATTCAAAATAGGTAGTTAAAATCCTTTGAAAGGTTCTAGTTGCTTGCTACAAAGAGGGGGGGCTGCTCTCCAATCTTCCTCGGGGTACTCATCAAAGTTTCTTGTATCGCCGGGGTGTGCGATCTTTGGTACAATGGGAGGCTATGGACAAGAAAGCTATATCACTATGCTACCATCCAATAATCTTGACTATCGTTGGTATTGAGATCATCATCATCGTAATGATCATCGTCATGACTGCTGTCATGTGACTTTACCTTTAATTTCCTTTGTAAAACTAGATTCCAGTCAATCACTTTAAACCATTTATGACCTTTCACATCTTCTGCCCCATTCTGTGTAAGTACATGTACAATTAATATTGTCAAACAATCCACGCTTAGTGATTCTTTTTGTTTGTGCTTACCTTCATACTTCCTAATCTTCTCGTTCTGTCGTGAACTAAGAGTCTCTTTATTAAATCCCTGTCAAAAATACAAACATTCTTATGTTACCTGGAGAATTCCATTAACTTATAACTTTAATGGTTCCCTGTGGAAGGACTTAACACTTCAATGGATTCCCTGAACTAACTTCAATGGATTCCCTAATTTACACTTCAATGGATTCCCTGAACTAACTTCAATGGATTCCCTAATTTACATTACTATCTGTTATAATATAAGATTTTTTTTAACAATTAGACCACGAGGTCCATYGGACTAAGAGTTGATAATGTATGTATCCACCAAAACTACAGGACAATTTATCATTCAAAGACTTCAAATGGTTTCATCAAAASTTTCAATTTTAAAACTACCTTGCTGCTGTATTTTCCATGTGTTTTGGCCATTCAACTTTACCAGACAGAATCTTTTCATAAATACCAAATGGATTATCATCAAAAAAGGGAGGGTACCTACAAAAATAAATCAAAACTTTTCAATATGTTTTGCAAAGGAATATGTTTCATTTGGAGCATCGATCAATACAGGTTAGAACTGGCTGGAATCTTTCCATAAGAACATTGATTAGTTATTAGCAGGAGAGGGGAGGAGTTGTAATACATACCCTACTAGCATTTCATAAATAAGTATTCCTAGTGCCCACCAATCCACAGCTTTATTATGACCTTTACTTTGAATAATCTCTGGAGCAAGGTATTCAGGAGTACCACATAACGTCCATGTTCTGAAAAATAATCCATACAGTTTGTCAAAGGAGTCTGAGGGTTCCTGTATCAAGATTGTGCTAGTAAGGATAATAAACGGCAGTCATACCAGACTTCCCCCCCCTGATATGGAATCCAGATCCCCTGATATAGAATCCAGAATGGAGAGTAATTTTGGCTCTGGAAACCAGAATCCGAACACATGGAATCTGGGGCAATGGAAACAGAATGCAATAAAACAAGATTAATCTAATAGTGACTTCCTAATAATACAATTATTTTAAACAAATCACAATAAAATAAGCTAGGGTCCTTTGCATTTGATTCCTATGTAGCTGTCCAAAATCCATGCAACATTTTCCATGGATTCTGTAATCCAGGAGCTTTGGATCCAGGAACCCTCCAGATACTGTGTCATGGAACAACAAGACTCATTTTCAGGAAACAACAGTACAGTATGTACTTATCAGAAAGGTGCACTATGGTGAGCTATTATAATCACAAASATTGCAATCAACTTTCTTCACTTACTTGTCATTAACTATCTTGGCAAATCCAAAATCAGTAATTTTTACATGTCCTTCACGATCTAACAAAATATTCTCTGGTTTGAGATCACGGTAGACCATTGACATACTATGTAAATAGTCTAGAGCTGAGACGATCTCTGTAGTGTAAAACAATCCTGTTCCATTGTTAAACYGGCCTGCTGTCCTTAGATAGGTAAATAATTCACCACCACATGCATATTCTAGAAGCATGTAAAGGAAGGTTTGATCATGATGCGTCCATAACCTAAAGTAAATAACAAACCATTAAAACCCTGGTAAAATAGATTATAACACTGAACATTGCTGAGGGAGTCTCAAGGGGAAGAGTACACCCATTGTAGTATAATAACTTTCCATTGATATGTTGTATAACTTGTGTAATATCAAACAAGTCTGCATCCCTTGACTTCAAACCTCAGCTTTACTAATCCTGAATTAAATGACTAAAACAATCAAAAAAGGGATGGAAAAAAGAAAATGAGAAAACAAATAAAAAGTGAAAAAAGTCAAAGCATCTATCAGAAAGCTGTAACAAGATATATCAGACTATGCTCTCTAATATAAATAACAAATTCTTGAAAAATTGTGGAAATTGATAAAAAAAACAGTGAAATGAAGCCACATAAATCAGCTCTAGAGGAGATGTGATAAATATATGCTATCCATAGTAGTACACTCAAACTGTAATACCTTTATGTAAATTTAATGACTGATATCTTTAAAAGCAACAGTCTATTTTTAGAACAAAATGTGCTAGGATATTAAAAACATTAAAATACATTTCCACTCGTGGAATTTTGGAATACAAAAGAAAAATCATTTATAATACAATATGAGATATTTTTGAAATGACATTTTAAACTAAAATGACCATCGAATTCTATTTCTATATAATACCATTAAAAAGAACAATATTTTTGAAATATAGTACTTTGTGTAAATAAAAGAGATTAAATTAAAATTGAGTCAAATCACGATATAACAAATATTTGCCGCAAACGTTTAATCTCAATAATCCGAATGGTAACTTTACTAAATCTGGTGGAGTTACTCTAGGGATTTGTTTATTATAACATGCGGAGGTCAATGAATTCCTTTCCGCCATAACGAGTTCTGCGAAGATCTTAGTTCTCCAATAAAACTAAAAATTGTATTTCAAACACGAGAAAATCGACACGAAGCTTCTTTTTAAATGGCTATGTTTACTTTGACAACTTGTTGATATAACAATGAATATAGAAAATCAAATTAAAAATCACATGACCACAGTTCAATGTATCGAGAAAGGCACTTCAATGCACCGGGACGGCCTATCAAAYACACACTGAATATCCTTAAAATATCACTGTATGGTCTTGTATGGTAACGAATTATCAAAACTCAGTAGAGACTCAGTGACAATTTCCTCTGTAAACAGGATTAAAACACATCCCAAGATCGCAAACGATCTTGACTGCCAAATAGTGTCGGAGAAATCGATCCAAGATTTCAAGAAATAAATCTTGACTGGTATGGAGTGTATTAAATCATTTACGAGCGTCGGTTTGAAATGAGGATATATATTACTAAGTACATTGTCGAGAATGCCTACATTCCATCGTGAGCTGAGATTGATCTTTGAGCGATAGGATGAATAAACATTAATGGTTCGAGTAAATACAGCTACAGATTTTTGTTTGCTTAGCTTTGCTAATACACTTACAAGTTAACAATAAATGGATGCTCGATGTTATTCAGTATATTTTTCTCGTTCTGTACATGTTCGACTTGTTTTAGACGTATTACTTCACTAATATTCATGATTTTGAGAGCGTAGAACTCTGTTCCTCGTCTTTCTTTGGCAAGGATAACTCTGCCGAACGTTCCCGTGCCTGCAGATAAAACAAAATTAAAAACAAGTGCCTTTAAAATCACATTAAAAATAGCATTGTCTTATAAATTAAGCTGGTTGTTTAATCGTAAACCACAACATCATCCTTACCTAGTGTAACTGATAATTCAAAGTCTTGCAAAGTTGTTTTTCGATCCTTCTTTCGACTCCCAGCAACAGACGCCATTGCGAATTGCGTCTTCGGAAGTCTTCGATGAATTCCTTCACATTCGGGAGAGGGCTGTATAGAAAGTTACTCTGTAATTTGTAAAAACTCCCCCTCTTAAGGCTATGGTTTTACAACAGCTGAATTTTTACCAAAGACATACTAAGAGGTGCTACGTATGGATGTTGATGGATAGAGATGCAAATTGCTATAGTAGATACKTCYCYATGATTGGTTAGTTCCATGTCGAAGCGGGCTGATCATTCAAACGCAACAATTGAAGCGTGAACTTTTGTGTTGGCTTTTTGAACTGAAGTACCTAATTATTTGCTTGAGATTTTTGTTCTCTCATCCCAGTTAAGAATTGGTAATAAGTGTTCTCTTTTTAATGTCTATATCCCTCCATGACCTCCATCCGGTAGCAGGTCTTGAACTTCGCACCTAGGTTAAAAGTTGACGCAAATAATTGGTCCAATAAAGGAGTGTAGTTATTGCAAAACAAATATTGTCCTTAAAATGGTGGGAACTAGCGGCAAACTAGTGTGAGCTGCGTCGGTGTTTCTAAAGAAACAGTTATGTGAAAAGATAAATTTAACACCGTAAAAAAGTATGTGGAAAAACTTACTGACGTTTCGGATGTTAAGGATTAACATCCGAAACGTCAGTAAGTTTTTCCACATACTTTTTTACGGTGTTAAATTTATCTTTTCACATAACTATTGTCCTTAAATACCCGTGAGAAATACATCAACGCAACCGGCCGGTTAGATCAGACATCGGCCTTATTTTGAGTAACAGGGATCATGCTGGCTTTATTTTTAGTGTATTGATCAGATTTTAGATCGTCATGACTCAAGCTTGTTACCAAACAGTACAATATGGTAATTATCGGTTTATAAAGAATACATATATTATATGTATATGTTATATTTACCGGAATGATTTGTGAATAAAAAATGTYGACCTCGGACTGGACAGATCGTGACGAAAACCCGYACCGCGTGACAGCCAATCCGGGCACAGCATYTCTGGGAGAAATCTGGTAATGGTAGCGGTGGACTTCTATCATTCTAGAAGGGAATTTGGAACRTACTGGACGAGTCGAGAAATAATCAGTCAATTTATTTATTTTTTTAGATTTAGCCTTCTGAAGTGAAAGAAAAAGAATAGAGAATGAATGGATGCGTGTCACTTCATGTACCTGAATATTTTTTATTGTAGTCCTCTCTAAGATTGGATACGATAAAGACATTAACATGTGCACGTATTTCTCGAATCAAGAGGAACAACTATCAGTGACCGATAATTGACTAGCCAACAGATTTGGTGAGTAATAACATAACAGAACTTAGAGAGACGCGGGCTATATWTTGCGAGGTTTGATATATAGGATTATTGGATGACATGATCTATCCTTTCTTATACCATCTACGTATAGTAGTTATCAACTTTATTTTTATTCTTCTAGGGTGGCTCTTAAGTTTCTTTACTTAAGATTGGCTGGATTGATTCCGTGATAGTTCAATTGATCAGAAAACAAAGGCACAAATTAAAAATCCATGGGAGGTGCTTCCAAAAATACACATCATAAGAGTCACGCAAACCCTCAGGATAAGAAAATATACCCATTTATTTTCAAACTCTAAATGTTACTCTATTGTGTATTAATAAAGTCAAGTTGGTGGTAGCCGTATTCTTAAAGAGGTAGAATGTTATCTTGGCGTCTTAGTTCTACAATCTGTGTGAAAAGAACAGTGTTGTTCGTGACAGACGTCGTGCTAGCAAGCTAAAAATACCTCACTAAAATGTCAACATAACACCCATTATTTGTTCGCAAATACTTGTAATTTCTCTGGTTTTTCCTGTTTCCATTTTAACAATTCAGTTGAAATCTTGGTTAGCAACATATTGTTCATCAAGTTTGTCTCGACGTTGTAATGAGGAACGCAAATGCTCACACATCAAAGGTGAACGATTTTCATTAAAAGAACATGGGTTTTGATGATCACGCACTATGTATTCATCTCAAAATACGAGACAGTGTTTATTTATTATAATTCTCTTTATTTTCTTAGCAAATATAAAGTAATATGWAAACAGAGTGTTATTTTCTGAACCCGTGAAAACTTTTATTTTTAAGATCATAGCTGGACATGAAAAAAACAAAGACAAAACACAAGATGTACCAAATACAAAAACATATGAACATAAAGTCACAAAGCACACATTACAAGACACACACACATCACACGGCACACACACAAAAACACGGCACGCACACAAAAACAGACAGAACAATAAGACATGGCGGAAATCATGCAACAGACTGACTGTATCAATGTGTGTATCAAGGGTTGCAAACACTCTGTTCATATGATTGGCACAAGAATTGTTAAACCGTCCCACAATGCTTACAATTCAATACCAATCAAAGAATAGTCTTATAAAATTCTCTTATAGAAATAACGAATAAATTATTTACATATTTAGTCAATAAACAGAAAAATGAGTAGTAATTTACGCTTGCTCCAACAAAAAAGATAAAAACGCTTTACAAGTTGGGATCCCTGTACCAGGAGGGAGGTGCGCAAGGAGTGTCTGAAAATCGCAATTTAACAAAGCGCACTGAAATTTTCTTAAAAATCGACGAAAATGTTGCTTTAAACCCGTAAAATCTAAGATTTTAGAAATCGTGAAATACCCGTCAGAGAAGTAGCAAATTCTTACCCCCCCTCCCCCCCCCCCCTGTGCAAAAGTGATAAATATTCCGTTTTCTCTTTATCTGCAAGGGCGTATCTAGTATTTTCTTTGGGGGAGTCCTTAAATACCAAATTGTCACTGTGACGTCAAATGATGTCAATATGATGTCCTATCAATCTATGCTTTTCGCGCTTTTTTGGATTTGAAAGGGGGGTCACATGCAYCCTGTGAACCCCCTGGCTACGCCCCCTTATATATATATCTGTTATGCATTGATATATTTATCTATAGTTGCAATGAAATCTGATGGTCACTTATAAAATAAACTAACTGAAAACGATACATTTATCTATAGTTGCGTCATTGTTTCAGACTTGGGAGGAGTAAAGCATTCGATCACGTGTTCTTGTCATGTGATTCCATCAGTTATTTCAACACATGTGGATAAGCGAGTGCGTGACTTCGGTGGCTTTCTGGAATCTGGAAGTACTAGAATGGAAAAACAATAGAGAGAATCGTTAATTCAAAAGTGATTATGATGCCTTCAATTAAACCAAGCTCATTAAATAGTCACGGGAGTTGAATACAAACTGTTTCTCATTAATGGCTTTATTAGTGGCTTTAYGGACGGCATTGTGTTTGCAGTCGTTATTATCCATAAAGCCCCATACCTGTTGTCCCACACGTGACAAGAATCTCATGCGAAGCTGTGCAGCAGAACGAGGYACTACAGGACTGATGCCTGGGAATGAATCCTCACTTCTTACAGACTCTTCATCACCAAGACTTTTACTAAAAAATATAATTATAACGAGATATTATTGACCATATTACAACAATAAGGACGTATTTAGACAAAAAGTGTCGGGCACGGAACGTTTGCCAAAGAAACTCAAGACAGAGGATATCGTCAATTTGCATCAATTTAAGAGCTTGAAGAGATTACAAGAAAGCTAACGGAAAAGTTGTGCTTTGTTATTGGATGCTTACACTCCAACTTTAGACTGAGCSGCAATTTGGTTTCTTTCAGCGGTGGAAAGGTTGAGAGCTCCTCCTTCAAGACAACAAAAATACATCAAATACATCACAGTCGTTGTTGAACTTTAAAGAAAATGCCTCACCTTTACTTGCATCAACGAGATATAAAAATATTGTAGCTATTAATGCAACTGGAAAACAAGACATTATAATTAGTGTAATCATCAATATGACTCACATTAACTTGGACTGGTGTCATCCCTGATTAAASGAATCATCTTGGAMCTATCCACCAGTCGCTTAACGAGACTATGCTACGATGTTTGATGAATGAGAGATTCCTTTGTGGAAACTAATCACTACCATCAACCAGCATCAGCAAAATATTACTACTTGGTCATAGCAGTACATTTTGTTATCRTTTACTTTTTATGAATATGACATACCACAGAGCCATGCACAGAAAAATATTTCTAGTACCAAATATCCCTGTTTGTCAACAATAATACCAGCAACTTGAGTGATAACAGCAAGGCCAAGGTTCTGGATGGACTGCATACTGTCAATTAATACAGATCGGTTTATAATCAAAAATCACTAGATCATTAACATCATAATGATATCAACAAAACGTTATTTACTTACAATCCATAAGCCGTTCCAAGCTGGTATTCAGGTACAACAAGAGATACAAGTGGCCACAAGGCACAGGCTAGTAAGGAATATGCCACCCCTAGTACACTCTATAACAGGAAACATGGTTACACTCTATACCAGGAAGCATGGTTACATATGCCACCCACCCCTAGTACACTATGTACCAGGAAACATGGTTACTCATGCCACCCACCCCTAGTACACTCTATACCAGGAAACATGGTTACATACACCACCCACCCCTAGTACATTCTATACCAGGAAACATGGTTACTCATGCCACCCACCCCTAGTACACTCTATACCAGGAAACATGGTTACATACACCACCCACCCCTAGTACA